GACACGGAGTTGACAGTCATGGCGCACTGAACATTCAGGGCGGCAGCGGCTTGTGCAAAGGGAGAGCTGCCCAGTTGAGGCGGGCACGCCATGTACTGGCCTCGGTGGTTCGTCAGCAAAACGCCCTCGATCTCGCCAGACCCATCGCTGACCCAAAGGTGGGAACACTGCTGTTGGTACAGGTAGTTGACCATGACTTCATGCTTAATGTCGTCGAGGAACATGCTGCTGGCAGCAGACTTTGTGGAGCGACCCGAGACAGACTGGGGACGCGAGCTAAAGCGCGGGGTGGGCGCTTGAAGTTCCATGTCGTTCCCGACAAAGCGGTCTGATGGCGGCTTCTCTGAAGCCGCTGACGGCTGTTTAGGCTTGTGGGCGCGAGGCGGCGCAGCCGCAGGCTGCTCGGGCTTGCTGCTCGCCTTGAAGTAACTTCCGATGCCCATTGTGGCGGGTAGCACAGGAAGGCTTGAAGAGTTGTTGAAGGGGAGTGGGCACCCTCCACTCTGCGGAGGACGCAAGGATCGACGTCAAGTCAATTCCGGAGAAGAGCTTTTTACTACGATATCAGCAAAGGGGTTCCAAGAAGTTCTGTTCGGGGGACCGGAGCGGACCTGGCTTATAGCACAAGCGTGCTGCCGTTTGCGGGTTCGGTCGTGGCGGAATAATTATGTTGGATCCGAGTATGACAGTGGTTGCAATGGAACGCACGCTCGTAGCACTGGTTCTGGCGAGAAGAGGACCGGAAAACGACAATTGGAAAGAGTGTACAATGGTTCCGGTATGGAACGTGCAAAGCGAATGGATGAAAGTGTTCAGGTCTGGTTGGCGCGGACAAACGACAGAGCAAGGACAAGCGGCGTCCTGCTTCGACTATCACCTCTTGTCAGTCCCCAGGTCAGTTGGGATAGAGAGGGCAACACGAAATCAAACAGGGTAAGAACAGAAAGATGGGAGGGGATGCTTGAAGCCGCGTGAAGGAGGGAAGACAGGGACGAATATGGATGAAGAGCAAGTCCCGAGTTGGAGTCTTGGAAGAGGTGGAAGTAACGGATCGATGTGCTAGGCCCTGGCCCCGTCCAAGCTACTGCTAGCTCGGACGAGGGAGGGGGGAGAGCAAACCCGGTTGAATGGAAAATGGGCCTTACTTACATCAGGGTGGTCGCCAAACTGTGGATATGCGCCAGTGGGCAGTGGGATTCCCGCGGGAGGACTATCGAGAGGGTCAAAGACGAATGACGCGAGCGACCACCGTGCTCTCTTGGCCGAGGGAATTGTCGTCCAGGCACAGCTCAGGTGAAGCGATATGCGGCCGAGCGATGTTTCGGTCGAGGAAGAGAAGGCGAGAGAGAGAGAGAGAGAGAGGGAGAGAGAGAAAGAGAGACTCGGGGGCGGCCGAAGAGAAGACGTGCTGGCGAGTCGTCTATTGCACCGCGACTGAGTATGAGAGGGCGCCCGTCTTGTGGTTGTTTGTGGAAAGGTGTTGATGTTTGTGACTGCAGCAATGAAGTGCGCCACGGTATGGTTTTCTCGGACCCTGACCTCTGTCTGACCTCTTTCGTCCTGAAAGAGGCTTGGGCGTGGGCTTGAAGGCTTGAAGAAGATGGCGGCAGCTGAAGAGAGAGGAGAGGTGGCACCTGAAGTGAACGAAGGACTGGTGACAGTGTGGATGCGTGTCACTGGATGAAGGCCTCGGCCACCGGTGGGTTGAAGGACGAGGGGAGGGGTGGGTGGCGGCTGGGAAGGAAAAGAAGAGGGAGAGAGGCGACGAGAGGATGAGTTGACGAGACACGATGCCGGATACAGCAAGCTCAGTCTCGCTCGCTCTGTGCACCTTGTACATGGTACTGTACCTCGCTCCTTTTGCCGCCTGTCATTGTCGGAAGTCCTGGCTCTTGACTCCAGTTTGGCCGGGCCCAGGACAGGGGAGGCAGGCACCACCGACAGAACACGGGCAGCAGGCAGCGGGCAGCAGGCAGTGGGCAGCGGGCGCGACGAGCAATCGACGAACCCGAACGACACACGAGGGGCATTCACGACAACGGGCAGCGGGCAGGGGCCATGGTGCAGGGGTGAATGGACACGAGCCGGGGGGGCAGGGGTGGCCCAGACTGAAGAAGGCGAAGCATGGCTCTCTGGGCGTTGGTGCTAGTCGCTGTCCAGAAGGTCTGCCTTGGCTGTCTCCGCTCACCTGCCGCCAGAGGTAAGGTCCAAAAGCCCACTCTGATTACCTCTCCAGTACTTCACCAACAGTGCTCGGATGGTCGTGGTGAGGTGACCGTAGTGGTGGCTGCGGGTAGGTGGGTTGGTAGCGATGGGGACTGAGGTGCCATGCAAGTGCCCACTGTTGAAGAAGCAGAAGCGGTCCGGGCTCTTTGTGTTCGGCCGGTTCCCACCCCCCCTTCTTTCTTATCCCTGTTCCTCTACTCTTTTATTCGATTCTCTGGGAATTTATTTTATTCTGATTATATTTTGGCTGTGGTTCGCTCTCCTTTTGTCCCACCCGTGGCGCTTATCCTAAACAGCTCTAGTGGCTAGGCCACAAGACCAGGGGTCCTTTATCCTCCCGCCTCGTCTGTCTTTCTTTGTCGTCTTGGCACTCTCACATTTGAGAATCTTGCCATTGAAGTTGGGTCCTCACCAGCAGCAAGCAGTATCTATCGCTGGGACAGAACACAGCAACAAAGGCACAGACACGGCTCACAAACGAGTCTATTCAGCTGGCCGAAAGACCAGTGAAACGCTACCTGGCTGCAACAGACCTGCCGTCGCCGTCACATCCACCTCGACAGTCACCGACAAGGCCAAGGCCAAGGCCACGACCACGGCCACGGCCAACGGCACCGTCCGCTGCTTGACCTGACTTTGCAACGACGGGCGAGAGCCAATGCACGTACATGGTACAAGTAGACGACAACGAACTGAGACAGCGATAGGACATGACGCTATTGCTTCGCCTGTCTGCAGGCCCCGGCTCCTAGCTCTCAACCAAGATGTCCAAGGTCAGGACGAGTGCTGTAACTGGGTCCAAAACAGTCATAAACAAACGAGCCAAACAAACCTGCGCCGAGTTGTCCGAGCCGCTCGACCATCATCTTTTTGCCCGCAAGCCTGGGACTCATGGTAGTCGAGTCAATTGCAGACCATGGCGAGGCCGCTATCCGATGGACGGACAGCGGCGTCAAGCCGACCCGCCGACGTATCATGGGCAGCCCACCCACCTAGGCTGTGCCTCCACCGCTCAAGGCTATTCGCTGCTGCCTTCGTCCGTATTCAACGGGGTCAAGTCAATCATGT